CCCGCGTCTCCTGCATCGGCAGGCGGACTCTCAAGCACTGCGCCACCAGGGAAGCCCAAGAGCATTATACTCTTGGGGGCTTCCCTTCCCTTCCCTTCCCTGGTGGCGCAGTGGTTGAGAGTCCGCCTGCCGATGCAGGGGACACGGGTTCGTGCCCCGGTCCGGGAGGATCCCACATGCCGCGGAGCGGCTGGGCCCGTGAGCCATGGCCGCTGAGCCTGCGCGTCCGGGGCCTGTGCTCCGCAACGGGAGAGGCCACAACAGTGAGAGGCCCGCATAACGCAAGAAAAAAAAAAAAAAAAAGTATTATACTCTTGACTACACTCTTCCGTTTTCTATCAAATACAAGCTTTGTTGTTTCTTTTCCCCCTTTAAACGGTAATATGGCTTAAAAGTTTTATTTTAAAGCACACGCTAGTACTCCAAATCCATTTAAGACGCCATGCTAAGTGATTTCTCACTTTCTGTCATGGTGCCCTCGGAATTACTCTACTCTATTTTACATGAAAAAAACTGTTCCATTTTGGAAACATTCCAAATGTCTCAGTCACTTTAAATGTCAAACAGAATTGGAAAAACAGGAAACAAGCTGCTTAGCTTCTTAAAATAAGTAGGCTGAATAACCAAAAAAAATCTAAATCTAAGGGAAAAAAAGACAAGAAACTAAAGAAATAAATGTTTCCTTATTCTCAAAGTCATTCCCTGTGGCATCCACATTCTATGGTGACAAACAAACCTAAGACAATTTTATAAACAGTAATTATTTTCTCTAATTTTTTAGAGGGAAGAAAACAGCGATTTCTTGAAGGAAAACAAAACCTCAGTGTTCATGTTCCAAGAAGCAATGGCAAAATACACTCAATATATTAAGTTAAAAAAACAAATAAACAAAAACAAACAAACAAAACAGGAAAAGGGCTCTCATTTTCTATGGTAGCGTTCCATGGTTAAACAACTCAATATTTGTATTAATACTTGATAATTCTCAGTTCTAAAATGACTAAAATATTGTGTTTTAAAAATACTTAAAGAGAAGGGAAAGTATGCTTTAGTCTTTGTTAGTAATCATTATTCACTGCTTAGCAATAATTGCCACTTCCAAAACAGACAGAGACAGTAACCAATTTCTCAGTCATAACATTAAAATCCTGAAAGGAGAACTTTATAGAGTCACATACTGATGAAAAATAATCTAAATATTTTACAATTTATCCAAATATCTGAGATTAGTATTCCTCTGTGTCATTTTCTAAAATTTAAAATGTTCCCAAGGACTTCCCTGGTGGTCCAGTGGTCAAGACTCTGTGCTTCCACTGCAGAGGGCGCGGGTTCGATCTCCGATCAGGGAATTAAGATCCCACATGCCGCATAGTGCGGCCAAAAAATAAAATAAACAAACAAATAAATAACAAATAAATAAAATGTTCCCAGGGATTGTATTTGTCATATAACATATAATAATTATACTGTTTTACTGTTTATAGTGTTTTCTCACTTTCCCTCTCTGTGGTCCTCCCAGTAACCCTCCATAAGGAAGGTGAAGTTCAAGGATGTGAAGGGCCTAGCCTGGGCATAGACAGCTTCCACAGGACAGACTCCAAGTCAGAACCTAGGCTTCTGTTCCCACCCATTCTGGAAAGTGGAGATGGGGTGGGGATGTAATATATTACATAATTAAAAATAAACATTTATGCAATAATCTTAACAAAATGTTACTTTAATTCATCCAAGCCCATTATCTGCTAACTATTCATTTCAATAATGAATATTATTGGATATTTACAGATAAATTTTTACGGATAAATACCTACCAATATTTATGGACAAATACCTACCTTTTATATAGTGTTTTATATGATTTTATACAAACAGAAGAGCAAAAAACATCTTTTAACTCTTTGACCATCTAGAATTTCCTGCAACATATGTAGATACAGGTTCACTTTCCTGACCGATATCACTGCTATATGTCCTACCAATACTTATTGAAATATGTATTCATTTATTATTCATTGCTCTGAAGTTACCATTTCTTGAATCCTTAACAACTTTCCATTCTCTTCCTAGAATTTCTATGTTTATCAACTTTATTATTTACCACAATATCAGTTTTTAAACTGTTAGGTTATAATTATTTACAAAATCTGAGAAATGAATCTTTTATATTAACATTTTTGGAGAAAACATTCTCTACGTTTCTTGCCCACTTAGTCTCTCAGATGAATTTTAGTATTAACTAGTCATGTTCTAATAAGTTATTTCTAAGGAAATATATTAAATTAAATGTAAATTAACTCATTAAGCATTGTTTTTTACACTCACATTCAGAATACAGGTTATCTTTTTGTAACACCAAAATTTTTTTCCTTCAAATTATCTCTTATGCCAAAGTCGGGCAGCAGCTAAGTATTTATGCTTGGTTCCTTTATAAACTAAAATTTTTTCACTGGATTATCAAGACTTTTTGAATTTACAAGTCTACGGAAATTATCTGCTTACTAATATTGTCTGGCTAAACTCCTTGATTATACGTATATAATATACCTTCCTTTATCTGTTTTTCTTACTGAATGGTTAATTCCACCTCTAACGTTATTTTAAAGATGTCTATCTTTTCTTGGTTTAAAGAGATTAACTCTAGTGTTTCTCCATGGACATAAAGTCGATTTTAAAATAATTTATTTACATAATGTTAAGAATCTGTCAATACTTTTTGAAAAAGTGTATAAAAAATTGTAAAAAAATAAGCATTGAATTAGTCCTCTGAAACCATTATGATGGTTTTTATTTTACTTCAATAAATTTAGTTAAAGACTCTTTTTATGCAATTGTGGCTTCAAATTCCCGAGACAAACTTTTTTTTTTTTACCATCTGAAATGTAATTTGACATGTTTTTATTGCGGTATAACTGACATATAACATTATATTAGATTCAGGTGTGCAACATGATTCACTATTTGTATATACTGCGAATTGAGCACAATAAGTCTAGTTAACATCTGTCACCATAACAGTTACAAAATTTTATTCTTGTGATGAGAACAAGATATACTCTCTTAGCTACTTTGAAATATGCAATACAGAATTATCAGCTTTAGTCACCATGCTGTACATTACAACCCCATGACTTATTTATTTTATAACTAGAAGTTTGTACCTTTTGACCCCCTTCCTCCATTTCATGCCTTGTCCCCCAGGCCCAACCAACACTTAGTTTTTTCAAATCTGTCAGTGCAACAGTGTAAGCTACTCCCCAGTTTGCTGCTGAGAATTCAGATGGCTTAGATCCACAAGTGAGTTAGTATCTATACATTTCCTTTATTACATTTTGGTTACTTTAGCTTTTGGTAACAAAATGGCACTTGTGCTTATAAAAGTCCTATTCCCCACATTTTGTAACTGTTAACTGTGTCAAGGCATATCTATTTTTTTGCAAGTTTAGAAAATTCTCTAGGACCTGATACTATATTACGAACGCTGCTAAGATCACGCGAGAATGAACTTAAGCAGTTTTTTGTTAAGGTACACCCTGGAAAACATCAACTGTCCGAGTTTGATTGCATTCCAATCATGCATGTCTCCTGGTTCTTAGCTGCTTTCTCATTTGTGCTTTGACTGGTTACTGTTTCACCATCATTTGCAGTTAAGTGTTAGGGTGTGAACTCCATCTAACTAGAGAAATAGGGGAGAAAAAGCTATTGCTTAGGAAAACTCAAGCTGTCCAGAAGACTCAAGACGGTACCACCTTCTTTGTCTCTCAGGCTTTCTTAATAGCTGGAGAACTGGAATTTCAAGAGTGGGGAATCTCACACATCAACATCAGTTCCTAAGTGTCCAGCCATGGAAACCCCAAACACCACACCTAGAACTCAAATACCGCTCTGCCTCAGGAAGTAACAGAAATCAGCAGAAATCATCACGTACATCACGATGCAGTTTTCAATACTACCCACGGAGAATCTCACTCAAACATTGAAAACAATTCTGATGATGTCTGTCTGCATAGTGTCATATACCCAAATTGATGTTTAAGAACATAAAATTTGGTGATAAGCCTTCTCTAATACACCCTCACACAAACTGTTGGACTCACAGCTGGTAAGCAAGAATTTATTCT